TTGACCCACTATATATTGATGTGGATAATCATTTGCTTCCATTGTCGAAAAGTATCAAGCTCATGGGTCTTTGGAATTGATGAATTTTGAAGCACTTTGCGATGGGCTCATACCAAAATTGCATTCTTCAGCATTTGAGCTATGAAATCTTAGCAATATTCAAAGTTAAAACCAGCTGAAAATTATATACTATGCTGAAGTGGAGTCGAGGTTGTGCTATGGTGCCCGTTTCTGGAGTTGGTCAATCAACACAGGTGAAGTTTTTTGTTTCAGAAAAACATTATCATTAATATAATAATAATAATCTTTATTCATCCTTTGAAATCATACACATGATATAGGACAAGTCATAAGATGTATATATATAGAGACATATATAGGTACACATAACTATATTACTATCGTCCATACAAACAAGCAAACAACAAATCAAAAAAACTATGAATTAGAAAAATATTCACTAATATCATAAAAATAGGACTCCACTAAATATGTTTTCAATCTTGTTTTGAATTTATTGATATTTGTTTGGTTTTTGATATCACTTATATTTAGAAATGCTTTCGTAAAGTGATGTACGGTGCTTTATACTTCTAAAAAAGTTACCATGCCTCGTAGCATGGTCATGAGAGTCAGAATTTTTTGAGAAGCTCTTGATGTTGAGTTTAACATATGTTACAGTTTTATAACTGTAGATCGATGGTACCGTTGGTAATTTAAACTTTTTAAAATGATTCCTACAATTCATTCGGTAATTTAAGCCAAAAATTAGACGAATCAGTCTTTTTTGGCTGATGAAAACTCTGCGATCATTGGCCCTACTTCCTCAAAGGACAAGATTATGAGAAATATGTGAATATGAGAGAGCATAGTACACATTTATCAATTGTTCTAGTGTGAATATATTTTTCAGTTGCAAAACTGCATAATAACTACTATTGAGCCTTGAGCCTCTTATACACCTGATCAACATGTGTATTCCACTTCAAATTTACATCTAAATATGTGCCCAGAAATTTCATTGAATCCGAAAAATAACTATTTTTGTTGTTTACGCGAACAAAATAGTCATTTGAGATTTTTGTACGAGAATAAAACTGTAGACATACTGTTTTGTCAGGATTGACAATTGAGGAATTGTCACTACACCAATCAGTATTCTTTTGAGAAGTTATTCATTTTCTGCACAAGTATCACTGTATCACTGGTATAAGTTATATCCAGTCCTGTAAACCTTTTTTCAAGAAATTAGAAATACTAACTCCACCCTGTTTGTACATAATGGAAATTTGCGTCTATGTTTTTCAAAATAAGATTTCCTTCAACAGGCTATGTGCATACAATTAACACCAGGCAAAACGAAATTATATCTCAAGTTCCGCTAGCTCCAGGACGGATTGCTCTTAAAAGGTCTTAATGTTTATTTGATGTTTTACTAGCTGAAATAAGAGGAAGCATAACATTGAAGAGGTTATTTTTTTCATTTCTGATGCGTTTTGAAGAGTTAATGAATTTTCAGCGTAATAGTCTGTATGGTATGTGTATGTGTATGCGTTTTCGTGTGTGTGTCTAGTTGAGTGTAGTAGTCTGTAGTTCATCTTTATTTTCATTATTTAGCTCTCACTGATTATACCTAATACAATTACTCGTGAAATTGTCAAATAGAACAATAAAGGATTGGAGTTTGATTTTGACATAGTCTCTTTTTCCCCTAATCATACCCTGAGATGCTAAATTGAGTCCTGAAAAGAGCCGCATTATTTCAAGAAACATTTGCAGAGTATTTCGATGTTCTTTGAAAGCGTGTTTTTCAGTTTTTTATTTTTTTTTCATTTTTTAGTTTCTTATGCAATAAAAGCGTGTTTTTAGTCTTTTTGAACTATATTTATTTTATCTAAACTTTGGGATCAATCAGCCGTATATTGTTCAGAAAAATGACCATAGATTTTTTCCGATTCCGGAGAGGGAGCCTGAAAATCAGCTACCAAGCCCAAGGCAGCAGGCGCGCAAAGGAGGGTTACAAATAAGGCAGCAGGCGCGCGTGTTGATAAAAAAATATTTTTTTCAAATGAAGAAATACGTGTAGAGCAAGTTCGTTTTATATCAAGGAAGCTACGAAGAGCGCCATCTGCCTGCAAATCGAGCAATAATGTTGATAATTTTGTCAAATACAGATCTCGAGCTTGAGAGTTACAAACAAAAAAACCAACATACATACAACCATACAGATGAAGCTAATGAAAGCATGTTGAAATACCTGCGTATGTTGCTCGTTTGCTTATCAACCACTTCTTCCATAAAAGTTTCAACTGTGATGAAAAATAGTAAAGTTCTGCTTTACTGCCAATATCTGCCTTCATCTTCAGAATTGGATTATCAAATATGTCTAGCAGCTTCTTTCCAAAAATATATTCTCAAACTTTCTTGCCATATGTCAAAAAAGATTCGAGAAAAAAAATCATCAACTAATCATATGGACACCTTTTTTTGCATGCAACAACTTTTCCAAATTTTCAGTGTATAGAGCATGTCCCCCCCTTTTAATTTTTTCAACGGGTCAACTAAAAAAATTGGAGTTTGGGATAATGAAATAAATGCATGAATACTTTATTTTGAAGTGAAATTGACAGATGAAACTTTCAAGATGGCCACTGGGCGTCTCTAGGAAAAAATGTAATGGACAGGATGTCTTGTGATATATCATTTTGAAGCTCCTGTCGGAAACTTCAAAACCCTATGATATGAAGTCAATATCTTTACCTACTACAAAGTGACGGAACATTTAATAATTTCCTTAAAACATATTGATATTTCTAGAAATATTCCTTTTTATCTGCCATGTGGCAATTCCAACAACCCGATAAGATTTGTTGAGTTATGTTTTCTTCATGAAAAATTTTTACGTTTTCCAGGAAACACATACCAAATATCCAGAAAAAATTAACATTTGGACAGGAGTATCGGGAAACCATATTGAAGGGCCTCTATTTATTGATCAAAATTTAACAATGGCTCTGTATTTGGATATGCTGGAAACTACTGTTGACCCTCACATCACTGAAATCGTCGAAGCGAATCCTGATGAATTCGGTATGGATATTGTATTCCAACAAGATGGAGCACCACCAAATTACTCCAGACCAGTAAGAAACTGTTTGGGTACTACTTTTCTCGGTCGTTGGATTGGTCGTCGAGGTCCTACAGAGAGGCTAGCCCGCTCGCCAGATTTGACACCTTTGGACTTTTTTTATGGGGCTATTTGAAGCAAATGGTGTACGAATCTGAATTTGCTCCAATATTGGATATACAGCAGAGAATAATAAATATTTGTAGAGATATTGATGTTACTGTGTTCGAAAATGCTCGGCATGAAATACCGGATAGGCTGTCCATATGTCAAGAAGTTCAAGGCAACCATTTCGAGCATCTTCCGAACTAACCTCAAGCTTATTACGTCATATTATGTAGTTAAATGTCAATGTATTCAGGCAATTATTAAAAGTTCCCAGATGGGAACAGTAGTCAACTTGATAGCTTCATCTGCCAATTTATAATAATAATAATGAAGAGGACATCCATTACTAAGACTTATTCTGGTCTTATAATGATGGGCAGTTTATATTTAAAATTGGCTTTCGAATAGAAGTAGTTTGAATCTTTTCTGTAAAACAGAAAGTTCTGAATTTCTTATTTCTTTTGGTAACAGGTTGATCACTTGGCAAATATTATAGCTAAAAGATCGCTTGAAAAATTCAGTTTTAAAACTAGGTGGGGTAAGAGTATCCTTCAAGAGATAATAACGACTTGATCGATGAGGATCAAAATAATTTGAGAATTGGAAGTGAAGAAAACGCAGATAGTTTACTTTTATGCGCCGCTGTGGAGAAATACGTTTGTTTGGGAATGATAAATCAAGTTAAAAGTTGCCCGAATAGTTGCGCGAAAAATTTACCATAAAGTTTTACTGTGCTTGTCATCTAAGGATACATATTTTCATATGTAAAAAATTGCTAATATATTCTCGTTCAACAGTATTTTAACTCAATCATTTGTTACAATATTGTTACAATATTGAAACAAATGATTTGTTGAAGAATATTCAACAATAATAAAACGTTCATTTGCTCAAATATTGAAACCAGGTACAAAAGGTTCACAACTACTCAACACTAACGTTGACGTCTTGTACTTACAAGAAGTATCTTACGTGCGAGAAAGTACATGATGTACAACTTGTTGAATGTAGGATGAGCTCTCCAAATTTCGATATGAACCCGCCCACTAGATGCAGGTTAGTAAGAAGACGGTGGGAGTGTGTGAGACATAATTCTAAAGTTTATTCATAGGTTTATTAAGCTGTATATAGATAANTTGAAATCGCCAGTGCATATAATTTCATCAACAGTTGGATGAAAATAACTCAGAGTATCTTCGAATTCTTCTAAAAACAGTTTTTCATCCTTTTGAGGGGGCTTGTATATTACATCCAATGCAAAAGATTTCCCTTGAAGAGATTTTTACCCACAATTGTTCACAAAAACGGTTCAGTCGACTGATGACTTCACATTTCAATTTATTCGAAACATATATACAAACACCACCTCCTCGGCTCTGCCTGTCTTTCCTAAATAACTTAAAATCATTAATTTTGATCAGATGATCCTGTATGTAAAAATATAAAAATTTTCCTGTATTATAATAATTTCACTTCAAAAAAATAAAAGGGGTGGGGGAAATTTAAGAAATGCACTGTATACAAGGTCGTGACAGAAAGGAATCTAACAACATATTTTGGTTGTAGCTGAAATATGCATCTTATTTCCCTGATGATACTTTTGTTAGCGCTACAGAAAACGATAGACATTAATTTTTTAAAGTTCATGAGAGACTTCAATAACGTTCACCTCTATTTCAAGGCATGATGATACGAATAGAGTTTTTGTTGCTCACCCCGTACTATTTCATGGTGACAAAATAATGTTATGGGACTTGAAGTTAATTATCTTCGAATGTACAGGCATCAAGATTTTCCCAGCGACTCCGTTGCAATCTTCAAGTATAACAGGTATTGGAGTTATTTTCGTTTTGCTCAGCGTGAATTGCTGAAATCTCAGATCGACCTCAACAGTGGTTACTGAAAGTGAAGCGAACGAAGTGGAGATCGTCTCTGACGCCGACTGGAATAAAATTGGTGAGTGTTTTATCATTTTTCTAAATGAATATTGAGTGGTTGAATTATATTGGTTGAGCTGAATTGAATTATTTGCAAATCGCGATTACTCATATTCTCTCAAATTTCGAATTGGAATTACTGAAATTTTAAAGTCTAAATTTCTTTCCGAAATTTTCAAAACCGACATCATTTTCGTATTATTCCTATATTTTTTTTATATTCCATATTTCTAAACATTGAGTGTATGGTATTCTTATTCACGTNAATAAAAAACACATGTAACATATTGAAATATTAATGTCTCACAATTCAAATATTCGTCAATAGAGTAGAAACAGTGCCTTTATAGTGAGTGCTCAACTATAGTCTTGAAATGGTTATAACTCAGACCAGTAATGTCTGTTAGTATTTTATTGCATTAATGTGAGTTGACTGAATTTTGAGCTGATAGATCCAGTCTATAAGATTGAGGCCTCAGGTGTGTACCTCTTCGAGTAGGGCAATTATGAAAGTCAGCATTTGTGAGGTACTAAGGTGTTATAGAGCATGAAAATACATAGCAAGGGTAGAATTGTCAGTTTTTGAAATGGAGGACGACAGTTTTCTCTATGAGAAACATTGGTTATGATTCGGATTGCTGTTTTTGCATACGAAAAGCTTCAATTGCATGTGAAAACTGACCCCATAAACGTATGTCATATGTTAGGTGGCTGTTACAAACAGAAGATTATGTCTGTGATACCATACTTTGACTAAGACACATTTTCAGCTGTCTCAGTAGAAATAGTTGTGTAGAAAATTTTTTGCACAGACCAGCAAAATGTGCCTTCCAATTTGAGATGTCATCAATTTTAAACCCCAATAAATCTACCTGTTGCTTCTTCGTTAGTTATCTATTTGTTAATATTATGATTTTCTGTGTCTTATCCCTGTTTAGTTTGATATAATTTGAAGTAAACCAAGTTTCAGCATCATTATCTGTTCTAGAACATAAGTCCATTGAGTCTTTAACATTTGAGTCTGCTTCTACCGTTGATACATCATCTGCATAGCAAAAACATAAGCTTGGGAGTGAGAAATTTAAAATATCATTAATATATACCACAAAAAGGGTTGGTCCCAGTATGAACCCTTGTGGTACATTGTGCAAAATAGATCTACATGTGCTAGAATTTCCAGATGTATAAACAACGTGTTTTCTTCTACACAAGTAGGTTTTCATCAGCTCTAAAACTCTGCCACGTATCCCATAATATTTCAATCTACCTAGTAGGAGCTCATGATTTACACTGTCGAAAGCCTTACTTAGATCACATAGAGTTAGAACAGACACCAACCCCTTTTCGATATTCTCTATTATTGTATCAACTATAGCCATCACAGTTATCGATTTGTTAGACCTAAATCCAAATTGATTTTTACTGAATACTGAATGAGCATTCAAAAAAGAAATTGAACGATCTTTAATTAGCATCTCCAAAATTTTACCAAAGATGGGAATGATAGATATGGGTCTATAGTTATCTGGAATATTTGGATCACCCTTTTTGAATATGGAAATAACTTTACTTCTTTTGTAGAAAAATATCTGGAAAATTGAAGAGAATGTCCATATATCATATAAGTAGATGATTTCAATGTCGACGGGTCCTCTCATTTACGTAGAGATCCAGCCCTAGGCGTCATCAGTTTGGGCTTCGCGATATCGACAATCATTTTTTTGAATGGTAACCTAGATCTCTCAATTTTTTTTTAGATTCTGCATTCAGCCATATATCACACTTATGATTTTCTAATGAATGAAAGGCAATTTCATTGTACTTTTATCATAAAGAGGGTCATGAATAAGTCAAAATAAATGCAATAATGAGAGTTTCATAAAATTCATTCATCAGTTATAATTGCATTGCCTATTCATTTCCATCAAGTTGTGTGTTTCTGTGAAATCGCAATAAATACAAATTAAAATAAATTAAAATTAGCAAAAAATATTTTACTTTGACCATAACTCGACCATCATGATAATAACAAAAACAATTAGTTATAACATTGAATGTTCGAACTACCTTCTTTGGCGTAGAATACACATGTTGCATCTTTTTAGTAATTCTCCATACGTGACAGCGGAAGGCATCTCTCTCGAGCTTAACATGGTATTGAACCCTTATTTCCAATTCATTTCTTCTATTATTATGCGGAAGTGCCCCTTCTTGTTAAAACCACATATTCAGTTGAGTTTGTATTGGTAAATTTTCCAAGAGATTGGGACGCACATGTTGGAGGAAAATCAAGTACCTCTCCCCATTGAGAATTCCTTCGAGAAAAATGAGGTGCTATCAAATAACCAATAATGATTCCGCACCAAACATTAACCCCCGCAGACTCGTTACTTGCATCCAATGAGGGTTCACGTCAGACTAATAGTGACAATTATGTTTGTTCATTATACCGTTGTTATGGAAACGGCTTTCAACACTGCATAATATTTTGTTCATTAACTTATCATCATCATGAAAACGGGTGGACAACTATGCAAGTAATTGAAAATAAAGCATGAAGAGTATTCCTGACGTAGTCTTTGAACCAGATATATTTTGTATGGATTGAATTCATTTTTGACAAAATACGTTGTATGGCCCACTTTATGATATTGTTACGTTTTTTCTCGTGGGTTGACCAATAATTGACTACACTGAACAATCAAATTCAACTTTGTTTCACTTTGAATACAACTAACACTTCAACTAAAGATTTGACTGTTATTTGAATGTATATCGCATTACTAGATCACTTCGCGTACCGCACTGTAGCTTCCACTTGACTGTGTACTTGACTGTCTCGATATGCCCGCCGCTAGCGTTTAAATATCGTGATCGAACATCGTAGAATTTTCGCCGAAGTTCTTGCTGCTTCTCGAGCGGCAGGGAACATTGGGCATTCCCGCGCTTTTAGCTACGCCACGTTTGGTTCGTGGTTACCAGTAGCGAAAGGCGTTACTTTCTTTCGGGCGTGATTTACAACAATATGCATTTGAATTACTTTACATTTCCAGTATTCAAGGAAAACTACAAGTGTGCAATATGGCTGGACTCCGAATTTGATGCAGGATTCAAAAACAAATTGAAAAGTCTAGTATTTGAAAAAATTGGCGTCGGTGTCGCGACACCCTAACCGATAACGCCTAGTGCTGGATATCTACGTGAATAAGAGGTCCCTTTTACATCAAAATCATCTACTTTCACGAAATATGGATATTCTCATTCATTTTCTAGATATTTGCCGCTGAGTTTTATATGGGACACCCTGTCTAGTTACTACAATATAATAATATCTGGTGTAATCGATGGAACACGATAACGGAAACTGTACGAGTATATTGTGTAATTTAGTATTCATAAACTATGTGATAAAATCGTCTGATACTTGACGAAAATCCATAAAGTATTCAAGTGAAACTTTTTGTGAGATTCTCACTAACCAGTTTTACAAAAATGCAATAGGTGTTTCGCTACACACTAGCTACTTCAGGCGCGTCTATACACCTGAATAGCGAAATATGTGTAACGTTTTTGTGATGTAAATATCTCACAACGAAGTGGTTCTTTGAATATCTCACAAAGAAGTGGTTCTAGAATATTCACAAGCTATAGTTACATATATAATCTATTTATAGCTGCCATCCGTATAAAACTGTGGAACATTTATTATTTGTTTGTTTGTTGAATTTAAAATTAACTATGGTTTGATAATTTCGTTGATATAATTTCAGTTTCGATAATTCTTTAATAATCATTGAATAAATCATTCCTACCTATTTACTGATTATATAATTTTTGAATTTCCAGATCTTCAAGCATTTTCGATATGGATACGAAATCTGACTACTTCGAAGATATTTCTGTTCTGCTACAACAAGCATTGAAAATAAACAACAAAACAGAAACTGATTTGAAACAAGATATTCAAATTCTCAGAAAATGGATGGAAAGCCAAACACATCTGCCTGAAATACCCAGTGAGTAATACTGTGCAATTTATATGGATATATAACATGTTTTGAATGTGATTTAATGAACTTCACGACGACTCTGATGGGAGTGAGGTCAAGACAAACTACTTACAAAATAATAATGTTGTTATTTCCATCTGTTTTTTTTTAAACATTAAACTACCAGAATACTAACGCCGATTTATTTTTAGCCATGGAAATTCCGTTTTTTATTGATGAATATTTTTTGGTTCAGATTGAAGGAAACAGTGTCTAAGTGGGTTGAGCAATATGAATGAAATAACTGAAAATCAATTCATATGGTAATTGAAAGAATACATCTTCACTAGCAATTGATGATGAATAACTCCGGCACATCGGCATAAGTTAGAATAAACGTCTTTCCTGTGTAACATGTGAATAGAATTTATGCAGTGAAATTCTCTGATTTTCCCTTTTTTTTTTTGGTGTCATCGTTATCCACTATTTTGGTCCTTAGCCTCGTGTTCTGAATAGACAATATTAATGCCATGTAACGATGCAAAATGATCCCAATTCCAATTGGATACATTCTTACGAAAAGAATATCTGGTCAAAGTGGGGATCGAACTCACGACCTTTGGCTTATGAGTTGACAAGTCAACACTGCATCAGTTTACTGCTGATTATCGGTATTTACTGATTACCGCTATATACTGATGATTTTTAAGGAGGAAAGGAAGAATTGTCCATACAATAATACAGTCATACAAAACGGGGCAAGATATCAGAGTCGAACAGTATTATTGTTAAAATATATCATTTGAAGCACTCTTTGATGAAAAAAACGTTGTGAGGTTATTTATATTGGAAACTGAGACTAGAAATTTCGTAATTCGGCCACCCTATTTCAGATATTCTGAAATGAATGATTATTGGAGAGCGAAATCGTTTGCAATAAATGAATGGTGATTTCAAAGGTATGAAACGGAAGCATTTCCTTTCATGAATGAGGTAATGCTAATACAAGTTTCATTAAGAAGAATAGCATGGAAAGGGGTCAAAATCGGTAAACGAGCAGGCCATTCCGCTTATCAATTCACATGCCTGGGTTTGTCTAATCCAACCAATCCCTTACAGGCGTGAAAAATGTGAAAGCACACCATCTAGTTGAAAAATGAGTAGATTTTTCATTTCATTTTGATATATGGGACCAACAATTTGATTAGCCATTATTCCTGCCGCATTCATTTATTCAGGCGTTTGTGTGTAACCTTTTCAAAAAATATGTGGATGTTTGGGTTCATATCGGACCAATATTGCACCTTTTGGCGATTTACATTTCCGTTTGGCAAAAAAATACAGTTGTCACTAAAACAGTTTCGAAATTCGTTCGGACATCAACTCACAAAACTGCAATCTTTTGTAAGGGTTATATTCATTCAATTCATGTAATATCTTCAATTTATAGTGGTGAAATTTATATGTTTTGTGATATTTTTCGACAGTGGCTCCTAAGATATCATTCTCACTGATGTCATGGATTGAAGGGGGTTATTCAAGATTTTATTTACTACCGAATCTCCAAAATGCAAAATTATATATCCTAGATGAGACTCTACTAGGGCAAAGTATGTCAATCTAGCAGTGAAAATATCAAGTTCATTGGAAACGATTCTGTCATTAATTGATCCAGAAGCCGATTTTGTGTATGAAGATGTGATATGTTCCCTAAATTTCAACTTATTATCAATATGCAAACCAAGAAATCTAGTGCAAAGCGTTTCTTCTATGATCCTTCAATATCGGCTGTAGCAATATTGTTGATATATAATAGGGGTGAAATAGGCCCTAGAACAATTTGTACTATACTGAAAATCACAGTTTCATAATTTGTCGATAGCAAAATCTATGTGGCAGACTGATGTGGCAATTGGAAGAGAACGACATGAGGACCAAAATAAGAAACAAGGTCACTGATTACCGGAAGGAAATGAAGTGCATTAAGCGCCAGAAGAGCAGGGGTTTGAGAAACTCCTGAAGCTGTGAGCCATAAAATACATAGAAAAGCCATGAGTCAATTATTGATTTAGGCCTGAGCCGTAACAATGAGGCGGCTTGTGACATTAATTCGACAATAAGCAATGAATTTTGAGGAAAAATGTCAAGCGAAATATCAACGAATTGAGTACTTACCAATTATGGGAAAAGTAGATCAACCATTGGGAGAATAATGAGTATANTATTAAATTCTACAAAAAGGATTTGAAGCTTTATATCTTCTATTAATTATCTGCGAGCGCTTTCGACAGTTGGTAGTACTGTAATCTTCATTATTAGATTAATGAAGTGTCGTCAGCAAATGCAATACACATATCCGGAAACAAGTAATGAAATATATCATTGACATGAATGACAACAACGGCCCAAGTACGGATCCCTGTGGCACGCCATGATCAGTACGAGCCCGTAGCGAAGTAGTTCCTTTGACAGATACCACTTGTTGATGGTTGGTTAAATAGGACTTCAAGAGATTCAGTGAGGTTCCTCTCACCCCATAGTGCTCGAGCTTTGCCAGCAGCAGCTTATGTGAGACACAGTCAAACGCCTTAGATAAGTCACAGAGTGTGAGACCTGTTAACTTCCCACTCTGAAGGCCCTCAACTATTCCTTCCACGACTCTGTTTACCGCCTGGACCGTGGAACAGTTCGTCCGAAATCCATATTGACAACAGTGAAATGTGTTGTATTTACTAAAGAAACAATACAGCCGATTTTTCTGAATGATCTCAATAATTTTTCCTAGAATTGGTATCATGGAGATAGGTCTGTATTTTTGAAAATCGGAACAACTTTGGATATTTTAAAAGCATCGGGAAATACACCACCATTGAAACAAATGTTAATTTGTTTCTATGGTGGTGGTGTTTATATTATGCTGGATTATATCACTGAGGTAACTATCGAGTTCATCCAGCCGTCTGCTATTCTATTCATTTCACACTAGCATAGAATATGGGTCCGAGCCCTCCCCATGCCCTCTCACGGATTGAGTGCCCTGAGTTGAAATCTTCCCCACATGGTTTTTGTGTGCAGAACATCCCATCCCATTTCGTCCATCCACCCTCGCTCCTCCGAAGCAGTCCTCAACTTGATGATGGTCACTTCAGCACGCTTGACGTCTGACCTCTTCTAGTCGAAAGTTAGCCTTTAGGTGCTTTTGCTTTCTAATCTGTGTTTGCTTTTTTAACGGCTTTCCTAACTGAATTTTTGCATGGGGTCCACAAAAATTAACCGTAGACAAGTGTCTTTTGTCACGAGCAAGTATTGTTTCCCAGTGAATCTGACAATGAAGTGAATTTGAACCTGGTTAAGAAATTCTTATATTACCCGGAACTGCCTGATAGCGACTTTCGGGGGTTGTCTTTGGTTCTGCTTCTGGTTCAATTCGGTACATATTTTGAAGCGTTTACGGCGGCCTTTACGCACGCGATCATAAACGAATGAATCTGTCTTCTGTATGTCGCTGCGCACTGGTCCCAGGCAGGGCAGGCATACATGATTATCGGTAATATTACGGTCTTCATCATCAGCAGCTTCACTTTCAATCCCATGTTGCTTCTTCGAACTATTATTGGTAATAGGTTTCGTCGGGCAGATCTCGCCATTCCTATTCTCTGCCAAATATGAGACCTAAATGTTAATCTTTTGTCTAGGTTGACTCTAGCTTTGTTGGTCCACGGAATCTCTTGTCCGTTGAAGGTGAATTTCCTTCCGGCTGTATCATTCATCCTCCGGGTGAACAGTTAGGGTTAGGGTTTATACTGATCTTCCACAGGTTGCCTAATCTATCTGCATGTTGCTGCAAGTATCTGGTGACGTGCGCTTGGCTTGTTGATCTCGCTAGCAGAGCTGTGTCGTCCGCGTATAGCGCCAACTTGTTGAAGTTGTTCTCTGGCTTGGTATACCGAGAAGAGGTGTGGCGAAAGGCTTCACCTTGTGGGACCCCTGTTTCTAGTAATCGCATGGTTGAGAGTTCTTGTCCTACTCTGCAGCGGCATCGCCTGTCAGCTAGAAAAGACTCGATTGATCCTACTTTTGGTTTCGTGTAGCCAAAAGTGTTCATTTTGGCCAGAAGTCCATGATGCCAAACTCTGTCAAATGCCTTGGAGACGTCTAAAAAAATCACCCGGTGTTGTATCCTTTGCTGAGGTTGAAGCCTTACGTCGCAAAGTCTACTATCCTCAGGAATTGCAACTCTGTCGATGGATCCGGGGAAACCGATCGCAGGATTTATACCAAAGTGATAAGCGTAAAAGACGACTGTGCTCAAACATGCAGGAGCACCAGCTGCGTCTCCGGATGAAGCTTTTTGTTCACTATGGACACAAGGAGTCTGGCCAAATGCGCTCGAGTGAGGAGCAACGACCATGAAATTTGAGAGAGAAGTTATTATTGAATATTTGCAATGCATCTTTGTTTTTCGAAATAGTCAGTATAAACTCCTATATCAAGGATACTTTTTCCATTATATGCAGAGATTAAACATGCTACATGATATTTGTAATCGACTTAGCAAGAATAGTAGTCAAGTATGTATACAAGTATGTAGTGGGTTGGTATTATCAATGAAAAGTAGTTATTGGACATAACAAACCACATACACGTGTTTCTGGCTATTTAGCCTTCGCCAGTACGGTACAGTCAAGTGTAAAGGATAGACAACACTTGGTTGCAAGGAAGGGGTCGAAAACAAACAAGCGGATACATCATCAGGGGCCAACTGCGATTTCGTGTCATCGTGTTGGAAGACCTTGTAATCACAAGGTCTGTCTATCAACCCTTGCTAACCCTCTCGCTATTTTTTCGTGTTAGCTGCATTTGAATGAAATTTGACAGCTGCTGTCTCCAGATTCGGATTTCTCCAGGTCAAATTTTGGATGTGAGGCAAATGCGAAAGAGGCTTGAAATCGGCCTCCTGCACAAAAAGAAGGTATTTAGTTGCATAGAGGAAGATCTTGAGAATTCGCAGACACTTTTTTTCAAGAGGTTACTATGATAGATTTTAAAATATAAGCCTGCCCAAGATCTTTGAAAGATACTATAATCAATAGTGAATAGAACAAAGAAAAAAACTATATAACAAAATAGACAGAGAAAAAAACCCATAGTTTGGCCGATGATTTCTGACCGCGAAATGACGGAACTATAAGGTGCACACTGTATGTGAATTTATTATAGCTAGCTCCTTCTCAAAATCAAAAAATGGTTAGTACACATGTGCATTTAACTCACCGCTGCCTTTTTCCTGCTCGTCTCTTATTTGAATTTTCGCAATACACTGCTCGATATCCGTTCGAGCCTTACACGCTTTCCCATTCCTACGTCAGAATAAAATAAGTCCAAAGTCGCGCTAACCGCCTGTTTTTCAAAATATTTAAAGAAAAACTGAAGATTCAACCCAGGAAAACTATCTTCTAATACAAAATACCGCCGTTGACCGATCGTCGAGAGTACCCTTCAAACTCCAAGTCTTTGAACCCTCCTCAAAGTTCACGCAGACTTCCAAAAACTTTTCTGCGCTACTCTGAGACCGATGCTTCATGCAAAGAGCTCCCTGAACTCTCTGTCTTTTCTGCCTTTCAAAAAGCCAGGAAGAAATCATGGATTCCTCGTCCCTCCCATTTCTCAAACCATTCTTCGTAAGAGTCATCCACGTGCGACGGAGGTCACCAGAAAACTCATTTCACTGAATTGATAAAACTCAAGATTTCAAGGCTGGAATATTGATGGGCATATATCTACATTCTGGTCGGTTTTTAGCTACGTGACTAATATATCTGACTGTGCAGCTTTCCAAAAACACGCCGATGAATTTTGTTTATATAAACACTCTCTCGGTCTTGCCATGATGTTACATTGTATGAGACACAGAACCGGCGTTTAAAAATATCTGCATGGAAGAATTACGTCTCTTGCCGAGGCTAGAATGTATGTTTACCATACATAACTTCGTCCAGGTATTACAGAATTTAGCTTGAGCAGAAGGGTAGAAATGACATATTCTGCATTTCATCAGCGGTGAGGAGCTCAGGCGATTGATGTTGAAAAGTCATGTCTATCATTATTGTGATTTTTGTTACTGCTTTGGAACATACGGATATTGCATATAGAATATATAAATTTTCGAACTGGTAGTTAACTTAGGTACATTCAAATGTTACACAAATCTCACACTACATATCAAACTGCACACTTATGTTCACAGTATCGTCAGAACCAGATAAGATTTTGGCAACAGCAATTGGAAATTCATGAATTACCATATGGCCCACTCAATTCCAAGTAAATGTAAATCCATTTCTAACTTTTCAAATTCCTTTACATTTTTCATCGCATATCAACATTTTTCTCAACTGTGATATTCCATATATTGATAAATTGTCATTCGGCACTGTAAAATAAAAAGTTTCATATATTCTGTCATACTTTCTATACTTTCATGATGAGAAACAAATATATCAACCTTGAAGTTTTTCAACTGACAGTTGAATCATATATCTCACGATATTTTTGTTTGTAGGAATATCATACCATTACCAAAATCGACAAAGGATGGGCACAGAGTAATAATGTTCCACTTAGACGACGACAATCCTGGAAATTTCAATATTTACAATTTTTTCGCTCACACTTACAATCTGACAGAACTCAGAATGCACGAAGACTATCCTCTTGGAGATATCATAGTCTATGACTTCAAAAATGTGAAGTTGGGTCATCTGACACAAGCAACTCCCACAATTATGAAGAATACTTCTACAATTTTGGAGGTATGATGTATATTGAACCACTAATCTCAGACTTATATTGCATAATTCTGAAATAAAAGTAATTCCACGCTTGCAATAGATATCAAGTTGAATATAGTTGCAAAAATATTTCATTTGAGAAACCAATATGAAATTTTATATCGAAAAATATTACTTTGGAGTGAAAACTGACGAGAAATCAGTTCCTTGTTTATGTGTTCTCGTTTCATTTGCTTTTCAGCAACTGAAATTTAGTCATCCAACCAGTATATTATGTTGTTCATAAACATCAAATTATTTGAATACATGTCAGATTTAGTTTGAAAGATTTAGTTTTCAGTTATTATGACATGATTCTTGCTTTCAGATTCAGCAACACAAATGCATTGTCAATAACATTAAAGTTCTTGCAACAATCCTGTAAAATTTCAAAATTCGAGCTACTCAAATAATAGTTTCACTTGAACTCCAATGTGAATTTCATCTCTATTTTTTGTTTGTTTTTCTATTTCAGAATGCCTTCAACAGTCACATCAAGCAGGTACATTTCCTGAACTACCCATCTATTGCAGAACCTCTGATAGTACTGGCAAAACAGTTACTGAACCCAAAAATATCACAAAGAGTAAGTTTATCGAAACTGCTTTCGAAACATTCCATTACCTATAATACAAAAAATTACCAGTACTGAAAAAACTCCAATCGATTTTCATCGATAAAGAGACGAACTGCAATTGCAGGAGATAATATTCCTAGTTTGATAGTTCGATATTTTTGATTAGTGATGTTTTTCATATCATTATTAGTATTAGTTGACATATTTTGTTATGTTTCTCATGAGCAATTTTTATCAACAATGCAATTATCGATGAATTTTCCTTTTGTCAATGAAAGGCTGACATTTACCGCGAAATGTCAGCGTCAGCAGCTATTATTTGGTACAGGATACCTCCGATCCAGAAGTGAAACGGACAGTATATATAGTCAATGAGCTCGCACCACTATTTAGCAAACTTTTCAACCTGTCTTACGAGGAAGGTTTTTCTTCATGTCATTCCATTTGGATTCCAGGAAATCCGGTGCAGATACATATCTTCACTGGCAGCAAGAGGTTGCATATGCCAATGAGGATCTAGAGGCGATTTCAAATTGGGGTGAAGGTAACCACGTCAATTCAATGTCATAAAAAAACAGGCATCGGTTTTCTCCAAAAAGATAAATGTCTTCGAATCGGATATAATATAGTCAGGACAGACAATTCCACTTGTTGCTCCAATAAGTATGTTGGAGGTTGAAATGTACAGCAATATGTCTTGGCACAATCATGTCGCGCAGGAATTGCAAAATTTGCTTCTTAAAAGTTTGGAACACTGTCCCGGACTAGTAAACTGTACAAACCTCAGCAATTTTTGGTTCTTTATAGAGCTCAAATTAGACCTTTTTTGGAGAATTCTTCACATGTATGAAGCTCCGCCCCTAATCATATCCTGTAGCTGCTGGATTCCATACAGAAATGAGTGATCCCCCTGATTGGAGACGCAAACGAACATCAGTTGCAACCTTGATAGTCTGGAATATCAAAGTGAGGTTGGAGATTTTTTTTTTCGTAGACACTTCCACCAGAGGTGTTCAAGTGACTTGGCATATTTGATTCCACCAAGAGCAGTACATATAAGAAATACGCGACGGATTGTGGCTGCTCATCGTTTTGAAGTTCAACCCAGTACACCTCAAACTTCACTGAATTCATCACGAAACATTGTCAATCACCTTCAATCAAACTTCACTATTTTGGTAAAAATAATTCGCTATGTGGTAACGGGTGGCAACAACAAGCAACTATTCAGTTCACTATTTTGTTTCGGCGTGGAACTTCATGTAAAATTACTTCATTTGGAGTGTTTATTTTTGGTAGATTGAAATTGTGATTCGTCCATTCGTCCCTATGCCATCATTCATCAAATCTGCCTTGATTGTATTCGTTCCATAGTGTTTTAGTCTTCTTAACAATGATATCATCCAGTATTTTGTTTTTCTTTTCACTGTCGCTCAAAAGTTTTGCTTATCTAAAACCACATGCCATTATTAAAACATTACCTAGAGAAGGCAGTTGAACAGTATTGATAAGTTAGGAAATCTGTTAGATATGGTGATCACGTGAGGTATATAAAATTAGAGAAAATAATTCACTTTTTGTATGTTATTCACAACAAAAAATGTACTGTAGTTTCGAAAATAAAGTTTGTGAAGATCAAGTCGTCAGGTGTAGTTTTTGAAATTAGTATGGATCTTCATCAGAGAACATTCGAGTCAATCAGGAAAATTTAGAAGTCCTCAGTTCAAGAACAAAGTCCTTTTTCAGATTGTTTTTATAGTATTGATGACTAGGTGTGAAAATAATTTCTATATTACAACAGCTCCCATATAATTTCCATTTTATCATCCTGTGAAGTTATCATTCTGATCCGAGTTCTCTCCAACTTTCTATTTTTGTTTGTACTATATTGTTTACCATATTATCTAAATCTTGATTTTTGATAAACTTTTTGAAGTGTTTTCATTACTCTACCATATCAACTACTTATTCTTTATCCAATGCATTTTTATAATCTAATTTTATATGTTTTGATACCAATTGAACATTTTCATTTTTCACTTCGATTAAAATTTTTGATATCCACGTGAGGTCCAAGGATGAACCTTGGACCTAACGTGTCTAGGTGGTAAATAATCTGTTCGACACGAGGGTAAAGATATACTTGTTATTTCGAGAAAACCTACAAATTATTGGAAAAACAACTTCAAAAACTGCGTGTGTGTTGGTCAGTTATAACGTAGTTTTCAGTTTAATATTCTAAATAAATATATACTTAGAATTCTCATTATCGAATCGAATAATTTGTCTTTTTTTTGTCTTTAAATGAAATGATTAGTTTTCGAGATAATTTGAAGTTGAAATTGCCATGTTAATAATACATTAGACAGACCACTCGGTAATTTATATGCCTAAATTAAAAAAATCGAGCAGTTCTTCTTATCAGTTTTTTGTTAAATAAAATCCCTTTTTTGAAATCAATACCAACTCCTCTTCTTCCGGTTTTCATTAGTACATCGTTCGATTGTTTTGTTTAAACGGGTCGTGTATTGTTATTTGTTTAAAAATGCCGCTGAAAGGGTTTCAGTTATTGCTTTGTTTTTTGGCAACGACCAAAATGCTAATAGACCATCAATTTTATTTAACGAGCAAAACCCTGGTAAACACCTAAGCAGAAATCACTTTCAGGGAGACAGGTTTGGTTATAAATAAGAAAAGAAATGTTCAGAGAAGGGTAGTGAATGACGATAATGCGATTGGAGTGATTGGTCAAGTCATCGCCAATCCCAGGTTAAGTACCAGAGGTTTATCAGCAATGGCCAGAATAAACCATATGAGCGCATGGAGGATTCTTAAAAACCCACAAATTCCATGCTTACAAAATTAAATTTGTTCAAGAACTCAATGAGGATGATTTTGAAAGACAGGAGTTTTGTGAGAACATTAGTGAGAGATTATTGCAAAATCCCGAGCTGCTTCATAACATCTGTTTTTCGGACGAAAGCTCATTTTATTCAAATGGTTGCGTGAACCCTCACAATTGTCGTTATTGGTCGGATGAAAACCCAAGACAATACGCAGAAATACATACCCAACATCCCCAAAAGTTGAATGTCTGGGCTGGAATATCAGGCAATCATATTATAGGTTCATTTTTTATTGATGGAAATTTAACCGGTGATTCTTATTTACAACTTCTTGAAGAGGCAATACAATCTCGTATAGTTAAAATAATTGAACAGGATCCAAGTTATCAAGATGAATTTATCCATTTTCAACCAGACGGTGCACCACTCCATTATGCCCAGCAGGTTCGAAATTTTTTGAATAATCATTTTGAAGGACAATGGATTGGCAGAAGACGTCCAATTGAATGGCCAGCACGATCACCAGACTACTTTTTGTGTAGTCTGAAGTTTATGCTACACAGCCAGCCAATTTGGATGAATTACGTCGTAGAATTATTGATGAATGCCGAGCTATAACTCCTGAGGTGTAGAATAATGTAAGAGCAAAATTCGAACAATATCTTTATTGTTGCATGGAGCAAAATGGCACACATTTTGAACATTTAGTCTAAATTTCCTATGTGAGTTACCCTTATTAGGTGTTACTTTTTTTGTGTGTGCTTTAAAAACAATTATTGGGATTCATTAACCCTAAAACAGTTTTTTAATCTTTTCTGTGTCATCAGAATTCAAGGAAATCAGCAGGTTGTATTCGTTGTGTAGGTAAGTTTTTAGTATGATTCACTTTTTTATCAGAAGCCATAAAATATCTACGTCAAAAGGCAACCTTCATAAGGAGGTGCCTCTCAATTTACCTAAAATGTAAGGGTGGTAACCAACCCCATATTGAACTCAATAAAAATACCTTTAAATCTTCATATTATTTCGAAAACTAATAGTTACAAAAAATTTCTTATAACAGAGATGTTAAGGTATTTGAAAGACCTTCAAAACAAGGTGCAACCTACTTTCCCTATCTGAATAAGGGTCGTCGGACGCATCCTTTCGTACTACATCCGTGCGTACTACAAAAAATCCAATTAGTCTGAATGGTGTTCCCCCTCAATTGGAAATCGACGTGTCCGAGTGGGTTTTGAAAATGGTGTAATAGCCGAAACCGGTCAACAATAAAGAAATATAGTGGAAAATAGACAAAAGTATGTTTTTGTAGTGTATCCTCAGTGAACATGAATTTCCACAAAATAAACAAGTCGTCAATAGAAGAAGTGAAATAATTTCAAGCTGAGTAGGGTATATTCAATTTGTTCCCAATGAATAACATAAATACATTTCTGAAGCATTTCTGAAGCAAAGACGTTTCGGAATTCCACAAATATTTACATGTTGAAATCAGAAAGTGTATCACATATATAAGCTTTTTATACCTACTGGTGCCTATTTTGTTTTTTTTTGTATTATAATTTATTGTCGAAACTATAAGAACCTCTATCTTTCAATAAAACATGAATTCGAGCTAAGAAAAAATCAAATTTTATTTAGAGAAAATGCTCTTATTCGAAACAAGGTAAAATGTATGTTCAAAACAAGAGATTGGCAAATTTGAATCAACGTGGAGGATTTTTCAGTTCAAATCAATATACACTTGCAGAGTTCGGTAACTGTAATAATGCATGTGTTAAAAATTACGGTGCATTGGTATAATTTTCGCAAAATGAGGGCAAAATTAGGAGTTGCCGTCAAAGTTCACCACTTTCTCTTCGGTACTACGTATACAACGCGGTACTTACTGATATAGCGGAGTTTTATCCAATTATAATACTTACCCATGAAAATATCTTTCAACTGTGCAAGTCCCCAGTATTGTAAAATCTGTTCCATTGTGGTAGATACAAAATAATCGGAAAGAAATTGCACTTCCTACAGACACATAAAACACTTCCTCCTCAAAATCCAACACATACTGGCGCGTACACGATGCTTTCAACGGAATTCCCCGCTCCCCTCTTACTTAAGAGGGTCATATAAAGACCAGAGCACCACAGTTTTTTTCAAATTGAAATTCCTGTTATTTTCAGTCGATCATAATGTTTTGTATGTAGATACACAAAACTCTTGTTACAAACGAATTGAGTTATTTGAAGGGTTACAGTATTGAATTCAAACAAACACTATGTGTTCAGATCAAGTTGATTTTGCTCTCCATTTGAAACAGTTTATTTTTTCCTTCAAATAAGTGGTGGATTTTGAGATGATATTATATTTTCTTGATTCGAAATAGTTCATTTTCGCAATGATATAATCAAACGAATGATGTCGTTGGAAGGCCAAGAAATTTGATTTCTTTGTTGAAAGTAGTGTGATTTCCTGGTGGATTCCAATATATGATGGAATCGGTCGATACTTGATGAAAATTCATAACTAACGTATTCTAAAAACACTTTATTGTGTGATTTTCACTAGATAGTATTACAAAAACGCAACACGTGTTTCGCCATACAATGGCTTCCTCGGGCGTGTCTCAAGACAAATTTTATTAAACACGTCTTTACGCATATTTTGTAAAATATAAATTATTCAAGGAATCTCAGTTTGGTTTTCGTAAGTACCGCTCTACAGCAGAGGCAGTTCTCAATGTGGTGAGTGAAGTAGTCGACAACCTCGAGCATATAGCTATTACGCTCTGCGACCTCTCGTTCCGACTGCGTCTCTCATGACATATTATTGGAAAAACTATATGACCATGGCGTCAGGGGAGTATCTCTATCCCTCATAAAATCATATCTATCGAATAGGTATCAAGCAGTCAGTAGCAATAATTGCATTTCGAATTTTAAACTTGTTAAACATGGTGTTTCCCAAGGATCAGTATTGGGACCACTTCTGTTCATAATTTACGTAAATGACGTTAGTAATTTCATGCATCCATATAAAGCTGTTTTGTTTGCCGATGACACTATATTTATTTACTCTGATAAAAATTCTATTGAAATTGAAATGTGCCCATTTCACATCTCAACAGTTGATTTTCCTGGTGCATAGTTCGAATAATGTTTATCCTGCCAAGCCTTGGCTTCGACAGTATTTTTTTCATTACTAGTAGCCCCACCTTTTTTTAGCTTATGAACATTCCAGTCCATCTGGTATACATACATAAAATATTTGGGGAGGAAGGGACGCTTGTTCAGTAGGCGTATATTCTGTAGTACGCCTTCAATTTGAATCTCAATATGCCATACCTCTTCGAATAACTGAGAAGTGAATTATCATAAAGGAAAGCTGCCCAAAGGTTCTTGTAACTGATACTGATATACTAGATTTGTTATGGTGACACTTTTTTTCAGTTTCATTTTCATAAAAGCGAAGAAGATATCAGGAAGTTTATACCAATTGAAGTGTTACCAAAAGATTATGGTGGAAAGGAAAGGTCTCTAAAGGAATTGAATGGTATGTTGTTACATAAATCTGTTCGGAATTTCATAGTTTTTAACTAACTGTACCCATTTTTCATTATTGAAAAATATTCAATCATTTGTCAAAGAATGTAACAGAAATAAAGTCTTAACAATGCTTCAGGAAAGTTTTTTCAAGTCATAGACCATACTATAATATACAAGAATTTTATAATGATAATAAAAAAATTATTTATTTATTATTTTCATTGATTTAAATGCACTTAGTTTTCACATATGAACTGCATTATAGATTAAGTGAAACTTTGTCCACAATATTACTCTTATGATAATAAAGTATATTCTCTCTTTTTCAGCTATATGGAAACAAAAATTTGCCGACTACAAAGAGAGATTTGATAAATTAGATCAACTGCGAGTCGACGAAGCACTTAGACCTACCCCTCTGATCAATGACGATGTTCTGGGATTCTATGGAAACTTCAAGAAACTCAGTGTTGACTGAATTTATTTTTTGAAAAAGCTTCTTTTACAGCTCAATCATTAATGATGATTATATCATTTCATTTGAATTGGATGTATTAACTAATTGTAGGATAAAAATTATGTCCTGGCTGTATAAACCATTACAAAAGTATTTTTATTCAATAAAAGGTTCAATAGAGTTTCTGTAATTGAAATATATAAATGCATACACAATACAAAAAAATTCTCATGAGTGAGAAATATACATCAAAAATATATTTTCCAGAAATAAATTGATGGATGTGGCCAGTACTACATGGTAGGAGATCATCATGAGAAATGAGAAATGAAACATCCAATCTTTTTTTATCATTTTTATTTTTGACTAAAGTTACTGTATTGTATTGTTACTGTATTGTATGTCATAGGACGAAAGTGCAGTAACGTTAGTTACAAGTGAAGGTTGTAAAAAAACATAGAAATTTTTATCTTTATTTTTCATATTTGCACTGAATTCAGTAGTGAAATTTCAACTGCAAAACCGACTGGGATCATTTATATCTGCATTAGGTAAATTTATTCAGAATTTCCAAACGATCTTGATCTTGAACTGAATGATCAACAGAACATAGAGACTCCCGTGTTAGGAATCACACGTTGAAAGGTAAGACCTTGTTAGTCCTTAGTTCTCACATGTTTCGATTTCTGAGGGTTTTCGTTCGTAGAGGTGCGTAGAGGTTAACGAAAAACAGATTTTGAACAGATTTACTATATTTCATGTAAGTTGAAAATGACGTTTATGGAAAAAAAACTCCCATTTTTTGGTCACATGGCGTTGTTAAACGTGGGTACAGTTACACTTCAATGTCAAAAAAAACTTCCGAAATGAGGAAGAATTGAGTGAAAAATTGCCTTATGAACATTTTCGAGAAAAATAGGAATCACTCAAGTTGCTGACCACCAGATTGAGTGAACTTCCTGAACACGTTGCATTTTTTTGAAAAATTGTTTGGCGATTCCAAAACTCATGTACGCCCTCAGATGTTCCCCCACTTGGTCAAGTCATTTAGAGCTTGACGAATTTGATAATTAACCCGTAACATGATGACATATGTTACCAACAATTAGTCGGTAGAGTTCAGTATTTTCTTGTAAATTGCTTCCAATGATTCTGAAGCATAATATCCAAGAACACCGAAGGATTCACTTGCAACAAGGAGAAAACACTAGGAATTGAGCAAAATTGAGTATTTCCGATATTTTGATCTTTCTCCAATCACAGCAGCTGCACTACTGGAATTAGATGTTGCAGCAAGATGTAGAACTGCAACTATCTTTACGCGAGTAGGTCCCATACCAGAGGTTTCTCGAATTTCCAAAAAATCAGAATCATGCCGTCTGGATGCTTCCCAACATCTCGACAGACTTCAAAAGGTTCAAGAACTGGGATAACTTCTGCAGTAGCTGGAGCTTTTTTCATGAGAGAATTATTGGAACGATGCCTAGAAATTCTGCGAGAACTGAATTTACAGCTCAGCTCATGGTAACTATTTTCTTCTACAGTGAATCCAGATCTGCACTTGTGACTGGCACAAGTTGAAGAACTCAACCGAAGACGTTTCGTAATTCTAAAAGATCCGTGAGAGTACCCGAAGAAGCCACAGTAAAAGCATTCAGCTTTTACTGTGGCACCAGCTAGGTACCAGCTTTTTTGGACATAACTGCTTGAAGTCCAACCATTTCAATTTCGGAACGTTCAGCTGACTCAAGAAGTTGTTATGAACCAAACTGATCATTGGACAATATTAGGCTAACTGACAATTTTATTTTTGGGTACCATGCCTTTCGTTTGAGATGACCATTTATTTCCACCATCCAAGTAATACGCATCACATATTTCAAACAGAGATTCGAAAGGATTGGAGTTGATTGAATGAATGAACAGTTATTGGAGAAAAGGAAAACTGGCAGCTAAAAGAATTACTTTGTTTTTTTCATCAGAGGTGTTGCGTAGAAGCACCAGTATTGGTTGAAACACACTTTGTTTGACTCTGACTACTCGAACTAAACACAAATGTTAGTGAAACTGTTAAATATTTAACTAGAAAGCTGGCCGCAAAATGAGTTTTTGGTTACAATATCCCAAATGTTTATATAAAAAAGGTATGACATTGTCAAAGGCGAACACGTGGAATATAAGAAAAACTTTCATTGAGCTATGATGATTATCGAGAAAAATTAATGATCATCAAAGATATTGTCGGTCACAATGATAACGAGGTTGTGTCGTCTAAGAAAACATCAATCGTTAGCCCTGCAAGTGGCCGTCGATGAATATCTCTCGAATACTTCACCATGAACGCTGGTATTTCCCAAGGATCCATATTGTCTCCAACCTTCTTTTTTCTGTATACAAAAGACTTATTGGAAAAAAGCAAGAATCCAATATATTGCTTTGTTGACGACAGCACACTTGTCTCGTCATTCCATTTGGATACCAGGACATCGGCTATGGAGGCACATCTTCACCGGCAGCAGGAGGTTGCATATCTTAATGAGGATCTAGAAGTGATTTTGAATTGGAGTGTAAGAGTAAAAGAAGGTAAATGTCGCCGAATCGGATACAATAATGTCAGGTCAGACATTTCCACTTTCTGCTCCAATAAGTTTATTGGGGATTGAAATGAACACCAATATGTCTTGGCAAAGTCATGTCGCTGTTCCTCAAAAGTTCGAAACACTGTCACCAACCAGGAAACTGTACACACCTAAGCAAAAATACCCTGAAGCAACTGAATTCCATCCAGAGAAGAACCATCCACCTGATTGAAGACGCGAATGTCACGTACAACCTTGATAGCCTGGAACATCGATGAAAGGGTGGAGATTTGTCTTACTTTTATAGATACTTTCACGGAAGGTGTTCAAGTGACTTGACACAATTGATTCTACCAAGAACGCTACATATCAGAAATACGCGACGAACTGTGGCTGCTCATCGTTTTGAGGTTCAACTCTGTACACCTCGAACTTCTCTGTTAGATAATTCTTTCATCCGAAGAACTGAGTTTATGTGGAATGAGTTTTCTGAGACCGTTTTTTCGAGTGGATTTAATCTCCAGCGATACAAATCCAATGTGAATGGCTACTTTTGCACAGGCATCGCTCTGAGAGCACCTCAAGGATTTTTCTGTACTGCTTTTGTTTTGTCCTTGAAAATATATTCAAGAAAGATGGATGTCAGCAATAACCGGTTCTTATCTTCTACTCATTGTCAAAGATATAGTTCGAGAAAAAAAAAGTATTTGCCGGTTATTATCTTCTGATAATGTTGATCTTCTGAGGACGCTAACTTGGTTAGCGAATCGTGCGTCAAGAGACCGTAATTTTTGCTGAATTGTTCGAGAATGCTTGATAGGAGTCGAGGTGGCTCTAGAAAGAATAATGTCTATTCATCGAAACTTTTCCGTTTGTCTCTAGTTTGTTCTATAATCAGTCACTTGAAACTGATGGTTCTCCCATGGAATAATTCACATTTAACCGTGTCTTACTGATATGAACAATTTTGAAGTAACATATATGCATTTCATTCGTCAACAAGATTGAACTGAGAATACAATCACGTAATCAATAAATTTTTACTTATCAGATTCAATTGGCGAAAAGATGGAATGAAGTGAATGAATTCCACTCAATTTGTTGTAGTCAGTTATAGCGGTTGTGACCAGCAGTACACCAAATAGATACAATAACTACATGAAAGTTCTTGTTGATGATAAGAAAAAGTGAATTAATGTAAGTGAATGAATGTGTTCAAAATGAACTTGAAATAATCAGTTTTCAACACGCTTTCATTACCTTCACTGGTGTGTTTGTAACCGATTCCTTTGGAATTGATTTTGGCTAACTCCAAACGAACAGATTTATTTTAAACTTTGTACACAGGAATTGTTGACAATACAATTATTTCATAAGTTTATCTCGTTATCTTGATCAGGATTGTCAGGATTGAATAATTTCCCCACACAGTCCCCTGTGTGAGAGCAAGTGAGACAACTACACCGTTTACGCATGCGTAAATATTTCATATTAAAACAAATGGGCTTGAAATAGCCAAACTGAAACGTAGAGAATGAATAATAGTTTAATCAACTAAAAGAAAGTGTCATTAGTTCAAATGAGTCTAAATTGATATTTTCAACAGATATCTTTTCTGAGAAATCATTTTAGGAATATGTCAAGTAACATGACCAATAGTTATGAGTCTTTGTGAGAATTTTTCTGTTATCGCAAAGTGTACCATTTTGTAGCTATATCACATAATTTCAATATGGAACACTTTTCTATTCAAACTGAAAGCGGTATATTTGTCGAAGATTATAATTTTTGATAAAGAAGGGTTTTGACTTTTTACATGTTCATCTTTATACAAAAAATGTGGAATTCTTTCAAAGAAAAGAAGAGATCAATTAATTTCAAAAAGAATTCAATACAAAGATTCGTACCTTGTTTATGCAAAAAAGTAACTTTCAGGTATAAACTGGGAAAAATGTAATCTTGTAACAACTACTTTCATATAAAAAAGTGAATTACACGAAAGAAAAAATATTGTCGGCACAACTACTTTTACATGAACATTGAACACTTTCTTCTAATCTAAACATTCGTTATGGAGTTGAATCAGATATCATTCACAGGATTTTCACACAATATACAATATGAAAAAATTTCACTTACATGGAACGACAATGGTCCACAACAACAACAACCGATGTGTCGGAAGATTTTCACATTTTTTTTTGTATAAAGATAGAGAAGTAGAAAGAAAAATCTTTTTTTCGGTTTCTTTCAAAATAACGACCGTTTAAAATTCAAATAATTCTATAATTCTGATCCTAATCAGTCTATTCTCAGTTATTCAGTTGTTTCAACAATAACAGTTTTTGAAGGTGTCTAACTTTTATATTTCACTTCTGTTCAAGCTCCTTTTTTTACCCACTTTATATTAGCTTAACCTGTATGTATGTATGTTTGTTAACTCCAAAAGCTCGGGATGTATATTGACAGAATTATCGACATTATTATTGCTTGATCTATTCGCGCGCAAATGGCGGTGTACATAAACTTCTCGATATTTCTTGATCTATTCGGGGGCAGATGGCGCTGTATGTGATCTCCTTGATATTTATTGATCTATTCACGGGCAGATGGCGCTGTACATAACCTCCTTGATGGGTTGTTTAAAAGAAAATCAAAATAAAAAATGGATTTCAAGAACTATAAGTGTTATAAAATTTTGTACTACAGATGAAATATTTAGATATTTTCAATAACCCGTGATTTAATACAGAAAAATATTTTGAACGAAACGTAAGATACATTTCAAAATCTAATTCGATTATTTGAAAGCAAACCACAATATGAGAACTGAAAAGTTCATTTTGTTCAATTCTCATGTTTTCTACTTTTTTGTAGCAACGCGATATTAAAAAAATATGGATAGTACTTTAAAAAAAAATCATTGATTATTTTTTTACTGGATAATCGCTCTAATTCATAAGTAATGAAATACTTTGTATCAAAAGTTTTTACAGCATAATTTTCATGAGTTTGTCAATATGTCTCATTTTCACGAAACTCATACATTTCAAAACTAATAAACACTTTTTCCAGATCTGTGAAAAAAGTCGATAATCGTTATTGGACCGAAAAAATATCAAAACAGAAATGTGTAGCAAAACAACGTATTTTCAGGACGTATCACTCATCCTAGAGAAGGGACTCAAACAGTACAACAAGACTGAAAATGATCTGAAACAAGATATCCAGATCATAAAGAAATGGGTGGAGAGTCAGCCGCATTTACCTGAAGTACCAGGTTAGTGTAGTGGTTAAATGATTGTACAAAAAAAGTATAATACCCATCTCGTGTCTCGAAGAAAACAAATCATCTGAAGGAACAATTCGTTCAGGCCAGTCTCATCTCCCTACACTGTAGGGTAATGGACTGACACCTATTGGAAAACAACTACTCCCCTGGTTAATACCACGAAGGGCGTTGGATTATATTAGTGCAGGATTCTTTACTGAAATTATTCCTGTATATGCTGTATATTCCTGTATTCCTGTATATGCACAATATATTTTCAATTATTGAAACACACTTGCAGACCGGTTTCGGGTTGTTTGGCCACTCTTCAGTGTAAGGTAGTGTCTATCATCGACATGAAGTCGATGATTTCCGATAATTGAAAAATGAAATTTCTGCAGAGTATCATTCCTCGAACTAGGCTGAAGTGGAAAACAAACGACAGGTTTGTCATCGCTCCATCTGCTCGTAAACGAGGTACTTACCAACCGCATATTCGAAATTTGTCTAAATCCTCGTATAAGAAAAAAAAATTTTTCACATATAGTTTCAGATATGCGGTTGGTTACCTCTTTCACAAGCAGATGATGCGATGACCAACCTGTCGTTTGTTTTCCGCTTCAGCCTAGTTCGAGGAATGAAGGAATTCGATTTTCAATTATCGGATATCATCGACTATTTATTGATGATACACACTACCTTGCACTGACGAGTGGCAAAACAGCCCGAAACTGGTCTGCAAGTGTGTTCCAATTATTGAATATCTATCGCGGCAGTTGTATCGCCAACAGCATATGCAGGAATAACTCCAGTGAAGAATCCTGCACTGACACTTGTCGGATATAATCCAACCCCCTTTGTGGTATTAGCCAGACGAGAAGTTGTTTTCTGATAGGTTTCAGTCCATCAAACTACAGTGTATGGAGTTGAGACAGAACGAATAGTTCCTCCAGATGATTTGATTTATAGCCAGTCTTCACTGACTATACGTGTCTAGCGAAGAAGTTAATAAAAGAAGAGAATCACCATAAAAAAATGCGTATATACTTAGTTTTTTCAAATCAATCAACATTATGACAATTTGTACCATTACACTATAATGATGCAGTTTTATTATTGTTCCATTTTCACTGCTCAGAATTTTTAGAATATTCTCCAATGAACTGAAAATCAACTGTATTCTGAGAAGCTGAGTCAGTCTTTATATTGATTCATCGAGAAAAAAATTACGGTTTGCAAAACTTTGCTTTCATAATAAACTCGACGGGTTTCTTCAGATAAAACAATGTGGAAGTGGCATTCAGACCACATGTCAGGTTATCGGATTTCCTTTGCAATGCCGAAGATAAGGTGGTGAAATCTGGAGTTTATAAGCTTAAGTGTTCGGAGTGTAATTGTGTTAATGTAGGACAATGTGGTCAAAATTCCCGAAAACGGAATGCTGAATATGAAAGGTCCTTCAGACTAGGAAAAAATTATTCTACGTTTTCAAACCATTCCTTGGGATGCAACCACGAGTTTCCGAATCTGAACGACACGGAAATTTTGCAATATGCAAGGAAATGTTACAACCTCAATTATTAGGAATCCTTGAAAATTCAGAAGCATAAACATTGCGGGTACAACCTGTTGAATGATCAAATCGATTTAGTTTACTCACTAGTTTTCAAATCAGCACATCCGCATTGTAAATTGTAAATTCAGGTACTCAATTAAACCAAGTACCTCTATTATCACCTACAGAAATGCTATAAAAGGGCTAATAAACCATTGTTAGTTCATTGTATGACTTTGAAAATGCAGTAACGTTAGTTACAAATGAAAGTGGTAAAAAGCATAGAGAGTTTCAATTCTTTTTTCTGCATTATGATTTCCTACCACGTAATAACGGCTACATCCATCAATTCATCAATTTCAACATTTCTATTTCAGACGATAACATGTTGACTTGTTTCTTGATGATTAACCAATTCAGCATAGAGAATACCAAAGAAAGGATAGACATGTACTACAGTATGAGATCTTTGTTTCCTGACTTTTTCGACAATAAACATCCACTGTCCCCACATATGTTGAAACTAATGGATACGGTGTGAGTGATAATATCAAAGTTAGATTGTTAGTGTTACATGAATGTTCAACTTCATGAAATTTTTCAGATATTTTCTATCACTACCAAAGGCAACAGAAGAGGGATACCGAGTAAATGTTTTCAAAATTCCCCAGGAAAATAGTTTGTATGACTTGATAGATTTTTGGGCACACACTTATAATATTGCTGACGTGAGGTTTCGGGAAGACTGTATGTATGGAGATATCATAGTCTACGATTTGAAGAATACTAAAATGGCGCATCTTACTCAGGCTACACCTACTTTGATCAAGCAAATTGCGACGCTTTTTCAGGTACTGAATATTTAACAATGCTTGAAAGAATTCAGTTTACTCAATTGTCATCAGTTTTTCTGCTCCATATCCAATTCTAGTTTCATTTTTATGTGAAAATGAAGAGCTTTTTATTTTATGCTGAAATTTTGAATAATAAATTGAATAAAAAATTGAATGATTTCATTTTGGTTAGTTATTATGATATATTTTAACTGTTGCTTTTTAATGCAAAACCTAAATCACTCACTCTTTTTGTTGTATTTATCATAACATAATTGAAGTATATTGTTTCAGTTTCTGCTACAATCCCTTAAGATAGGCTCGGAATTGAATTATGAGACTCCAAAAATCACTACCGCCTCTGTTTGCTCAGAAATATGACACCCTTCTTATCTCAGTTAACAAACATCACTCTGAAAGGCGTTTAGGACATACGTCCATAGGAAGTTTTTTTCTTAAAATGGGTCTAAGAATTACCACCTTAAATATTAGCATGTGTTTAAGGAACACCCTGTATATGGCAGGGCGAATCTATTGTGACAAAGGCTCCACTTTTCGTCTTGTAGTAAAAGTGATGAGGAAAGCCCTAGCATTGTCCCCAAAAATTATGGGGCCAGCATGGTGTGACCATGACGTATTATCATCTACAATCTATAATTATCAGAATATGACCTCGTATCTGGACAACTATGGGGGGACAGTTCCAATAATTTGCAGAAATTTTCTTATTATTCAGTGGGCTATGCTTGAAGACTGGCAGTAAACAAATCTAAAGAAATGAACTTTAAACGTTCAAGCCAGTCTCGAATATACCTACACAGTAGGTACCTACTATATATATATACCTACTATATAATATACCTACTATATTCAAGACTGGCTTGAAGGTTTAGAGTTCATTTCTTTAGATTTATTAACAAAATTGTTTGTTTGTTTTCTCAAACAATATATAACTCAAATCACACTTATTGAAAATGATTTTCTTGCTTTTCTACACAAATACGATTTTGAGACATCGGCCATTAAAAGCCAAGCCACAGAGATAGCCCAATTTATTTAGGTGATACCTTCAAGATGATCATTTTAGGATAAAATATGGCTCATTAAAGAATCACGTTTTGAAAGTACTATTTGACTGAGAAAAACTCTTGATTTTCAAATGTGTCTGAAGGCTGTACCAAGGAGAGATACATTTAAAAAAATGAATTTTCGAAATAAAATGTTGAAACAATAATGACTACTTTCCCGGCTAATACCACGCTGAATATTGAATCAGATATTCATTCAAGATATCTCACAGAGCTTAGTTTCGCACATGTCTCTCGTTTCTCCAGCGTGGTATCAACCAGGGAAGTAGTTATTTTACGGCAGGAATTCACCAGAACCAACTGTGTAGATAGTTGGGAGGAATGAATGTTTCAAAATGTAATTTCCGAATATTTTTTTTCTAACTGAATATTACTCAATCCGTTTAATTTGATGTTGATAAATACAGCTTGTCAAATTTAGGAAGAGACTTGAGAATTTCTGCTCTCTCTCTCTCTCTTTGGCTAGTACGGTACTAGTGAAAGAGAGAGAGAGTAGAAATTCTCAAGTCTCTTCCTAGATTTGACAAGTTGACCATTCGATTTGATTCAATATGATCCATTCAGAAATGGATTACTGAATTATTACTTGTTATTTTCGTTTCAGAAAGTTTTTAACACCAATGTCGTACAACAACATTTTATCAACTGTCCGTCATTTGTGGAACCCCTTATATCTTTTGCTGTACAACTGGTGAATTCAAAAATAGACAAAAGGGTAAGTTGTTACAGTAACGTAGGCTACAATTAATGACTTATCGTCAAAGTTGCGGCATTAATGAGATCTTCCAAACGGAGACTACTACAAACACATCACAACTTGTCAGATTCACATCGAAATACTTCAAATCATTGATTGAATTTGCTTACAATAAAAACTTGATAATTCATTTTCATGAAGGCCATCTGCAGAAGTGATATTTGATATCTAATAACAGGTACTTCTCCAGGTACTCAAATATATTGTTACTGGGTAAGAATTGCCTGGTGGCCGAAGGCTTTACAGAAAACGACCAAGGTGAAGGCGTATCTGGCCATCATTGGTGCCATCAGTGCCATGGAGATTCTTCTAGATCTACCTCCTCTCCACATTTTTCTGGAGAGAGAAGCTAGATGGGCTACCTATAGACTTGTTCCCATTGCCAATTGCACAAATCAATACAATTCATAGTGCAACAGACTGATGGTTGACACTGAAATTCACAGCTTTCTGGAAATGATATCTGACTTTATACCTCCAACTGTCAACTACGAACTGCCTTATAAAGTACTGTTCCCGACTAGAGAGGACTGGATCCTCCGAGAGAAGGAAATATTAAGAGCAGATAGTTGTTGGTTCACAGATGGATCAAAAACACCTTCCGGTTCTGGTGCAGGTTTTCAGTCGCAGACCCAGGACAGAGATACTAACCTGCCTAGGAAACTATGCGACTGTATTTCAAGCGAAAGTTTACACTATTGAATTGTGTGCGTAGAGATTTGAAGAATCCAACCTCATACAAAAGTCAATAAAAATATTCTCGGACAGTCAAGCGGCATTGGAAGCTCTTGACACCTACGAAGCAACGTCTGAATTGGTAGCAAATTGACGAAAACGACTCTCATTGATTGGAAGACTCAACAGATTGTCTCTGGTCTGGATTCCTAGCCATACTGTCATGGAAGGCAATGGGACTACTGACTATCTTGTAAAGAAGCGGGCTGCAAGCAGCTTTATTGAATCAATACTTGTCATTGGCATCGCTTTAGGCTTTGCCAATCAAAATTGAACACGTGGTTGGCAAGAAGATTCATGGACTTCTGGCCGAAACTTCCAGGATGGGCTCACTCCAAGGCGTTTATTCACTCTTCGAAACTTGATACCAAATCAGTTGTTGAACTACAGTAGGGATGAATTACGATGTCTGACAGGCCTTCTTACAGGTCACTGTTAATTGAATCATCAAATGCAGAGACTTGGACTGTGGGAAGACAGTGTGTGTCGCCTCTGTTTGGAAAATGATGAAACAGCACAACACAGCTTCATTTAATTTTCATCGATACATGTCTAAAGTAAGAGGTAAAAATAGGTTATATGTTCGATTCATTAAATATGTAGTAATCAACTGATCCTTGAGAATATTTATTTCATTATGGAGCTATCTTCTGTTTATAATTTTATATAAATTAACTCAATTCATTTCCAGTTTCATTTTCACAAAGATGTGAAATCTCTTCTGGAATTCATCCCAGCCCATGTATTACCAAGTGATTTAGGTGGAACAGAAAAGTCACTACAGGAATTGAATGGTGAGATTTTTTCTATCTAAAATATAATTTTAGGATATGTAAAAACTATACCTACGGATTGAATACACAGCTTCATGAAAAAACCTTTTTTATCCCGAACAACAGAATTTTTTGTATCACTGGAGCCATCGATAGCGAATACAGTTGCTAACAATGGCTGACAAGTTTCTACAGAAACCGTATCTGATATACAGGGTGTTTCTTAACTACGGTACGTAATTTCAGAGGATTTCAGAGGTCGTATTAAGAAAAAAATCTTATGAAAATATGTCCAGAGTTGCTCCATTTCTGAGATAGAGGGCGTTGAAGTTTATTAAAAAAAACGGTATTAATGAATATTATGAATATCCTGACACCGATTTGATTGACATTTGCTTCAGTTACTCGAAGTGATAGGGCGCTTATTAAGCACGAAGTAGATTGAAATTTTTGGGTGCAGTGGCGTCTTAGTGAGCACCAGTGCCAACAATATTGAGAAAAAAAAACGCCACTGAATTTTTGTTGTAGTTTTTGATTTTTCCGGATAAGGCAATTGAAAATACAACTTTTTCGTCGCTGGTGTTTTCTTCATATCAGGCTTCGAGAAAAAAATCACTTATAAAAAGAATCCATGAACAACATGAAATTAAAATAAAAAAAAGCCTTCAGATGATCACATGAATAGAAATCGAGAGGATCATATCAGGACTGCGAGCTGGCCAATTTTGAGGTCCTGCTCATCCAATCCAGCGATATGGGTAGATGATGTCAAGATGCTGTAGGATTCACCTGTTGATCTTGTTGGAAAAACAATGGGCCGATTAGGTAGCCGTCAATTCTTTCTACTCAAACGTTGTTGCTGAAAATGACTTTCTCAAATAATAATACTCTTTATTCAATTTTGCATAATACAAAGAAATGTCTCACAATAAAATGAAGTGAATAAATCCGATGAGCGATAAGTGCTATTGCACTTGTTTCGCCATACAATACCTAAAAATACGGATAACTATAACATACATATACAAGTACTAAACAATAGAAAATTTATAAACAAATACATAGTATATAAAATAATAATCAGAGTAATTATAAAGTTCCTCCCTATTTATGTAAGTCATAATAATTGAGATAATTGTTGCACTTGTTTAGCAGTAAAATGTGATAATATTTAAAAGGAATGCGAATGATGGAATAGTTACGCAGAAGAATAAACAATGTTAAAGTAAAAACATAGTTCATAAAGTAGTATTAGTGGGGATGACAATAAAGCTCTCATTCATGTGAGCAGTACACAAAAACATACTAGGGTTCAGGATTTGTTTAGTAAACATGATCATCGAAAAAGTGATGGACTAGTTGTCTTGGATTCTCAAGAATGAACTTCTTTAATGCATTTTTGAATTGAGGCAGATATATCAATATTTTTAACCGTTCAGGTGATTTATTATATAATTTTGGTGCTAAGTATTGAAAAAAACGTTGTGTTGTTGTTTTCATCATATAGGGAACTGGGTGTTGGTTTCGATTTCGTGTATAGTACGGATGAGTATTGAGAACTGGTGTTTGTGTGGAGTGATATTTTATGAGTGTAAGGGAAAAATATAACTGTCTAGTGTCCATGATTTTTGCTTCCAGGTACAGTGGCTCTGAACTGTATAGTCGATCTTTTGAGAAAATGAGCTTATTTTTGACTTATTCTAGAAGATGTAAGTAGGTTTTTGCTGCAGCTTCCTATCCTAGTATTCCATATCGAAGATGACTTTCCACTAGTGCGTGGTATAGTATTTTTAGTGGGTGTGTTGGTAATATCTTTTTGAGATATTTGAATCTATAGAGAATAGTCTGTAGTCTATTGATAATATATTTTATATGAGAATCTCATCTTGAGTGTGAGTCGATTATGACTCCCAGATATTTAATTTCTTCGAGATGTAAGATATAGTATGGCTTGTCATTTATGTTCACTGTTAAGTTATTGAATATAGGTAAACCAGTTTTGTTACATCTGAAAGGGGCGTAGTTTGTTTTTTCTAAGTTCACTGTGAGCAGTTTACTACTCAAAAATGTTTTTATTTTACTTAAAGTCATTTTGAGTTTTTTCTTTGAGTGCCTCCCAGGTATCAGCAGTATAAAGTATTGCTGTATCAGCGAAACCAAAAATTAATCCATCACTTTGAAGAGAGTATAGTTCGTTCACGTATATATTGAAAAGAATGGGTCCTAAGACAGGACCTTGTGGTATTCCCTATTTGGTCGAGTTTTACTAGTTGCTATCTATTTGACAGGTAACTTTCGAAGAGCTTGAGGGTCTGTCCTCTTACACCTATATTTTCAACGTAGGGTTTTCCATCAGCCCAAAAATGGTCATTGTGAAAGTTCATAATAGCATCTCGTGAAAAATTGGCTTTTTCCGTAAATATAATATTTAAAAAATCATTATTGTGTGCCATCGTATGAATCAACCACCTGCAAAAACATTAATCTTGGGTGGAAATTTCGAGGCAGTACAGCTTGAACCCGTTGTTTGTGAAATGAGTATGAGGTTCTTTTTTTAATTGTCCATACAGGTTTTGGGCGAATTTCAGCTGCAGCGCAATCTTGCTAGTACTATTTGAGGGATCTTCTTCTATCACATCAGGTATAGCAGTTTTTGGTCTTCCACCACCTGTATTTTCATTAAAATTTCCAGTTTTACATAATCTTGCAAGTATGTAGCGTTCTGAATGTTTTAGCACATGGAATTACTTTGTTAAGATATCTGTCCTGGAAAATTCTCTGTGCTTCTTCCGCATTTTCATTTGCATGAATACCAATTAAAAACCTAAAAAGTACAGAGAAATCCTCTGATCCAGAAGAAGAGAAAGTGATAGTTAGGAAATCAGCAGAAGACATGTTGGAAGACATTTATTGTCAGGTTATTCTTTGCTCATTCTTTCGACAACTGTGATAACGAAGAACATGAACACATATTTTGCTAATGTTTTCCACTGTATCAGTATTACAAAAAACAGTACATACCTTTTCCACTCAGTATGGTTATGAAAATTTTCATACTTTTTGTATGTAATAAAACTTTCTACAAGTATTATCACGATTCTTGTTAGACAAAAGTATTCTATAACTAACGTGAAACATCTTAAAGTTTGAAAAATTTCAACAAAGTGCGACTTTTCAATTTAATTGAGAAGTGCTTACCAGTCCTAGAAACAAAGTTGAGGAACATGCATTGTAGACAATTCTGACCCCTACAATGTGGAATTCTTTTGTAGCCGAAATGCACAAAAAATTGAGTAAAACTGGACGATATTTGATGGAAATATCTATAGATTCACCGATAACGTGTACTGTAATTTTCAATCTGACAGGTTTACAAAACCACCATACTTGTGTGGCTATACAAGAGATTTTAAAAAAAATATTGTTCTTGGAACACAGGTAAGAAATACCATTTCAAAGTATTACCTTGCATCAGTGCATCATCCCAACTACCTAAACGTACGATGTAGGTGATCTACTAGAATGATTTCAGCTTCATCCTGCTGATGGATGAACATGAAACATCTGCGAGACTAACCTCATTGAGGTATTTATCTTGCATGAATGCCTGTCAGCTATAACTCAATATTCTGCGTGGTATTGGCCGAGGAAGTAATTGTTTTCCGGCAGGAATTTACCAGAACCTACGGTGAAGGTAGTAAAAAGAGATAAATATTAATCGATTTCATTCTCTTGTACGACACAGTTTGATCTCTGTTAAAAAGAAATAGGCGAAAATCTGAGAAGAGCAACATTTTCGGGTTTTCAAGGTGATGACAGGTGCAAAAATGCGGGAATTGTGCATTTTGCATCAGAAATGCAGACCTATCAGGCATTTCATGAGTAAACTTGTCTCTATCAATTGGACCAATATATCTTTTTTCGGTGATCAGTGTCTTTGTGATGCACTGTTTGAAACCTTCGGTATAGTAATGAATATTACTGGAGTACTATCCCAACACCAAACCGTTATTTTCAACACCTCCACACGTGTTTAAATCACCAAGTGATTGGAATATTGAACTTGAATTCAATCTTAAAATTAAATTTAAAATTGAAATTAAACTCAAGGTCAATCTAAAGATTAAATCAATCAATCAATCAATCTTTCTCTTGAAGATGATCACTTGGTAATTCAAACACGTGTCGAGGTGTTGAAAATAATGGTTTGGTGTTGGGAATAAACTCCAGTAATATTCGTGATGAGTGTCGTTGACTGCTGTAGGCATACTTTGGAAACTCTTGAGGCAAACAACTTCAACAGACGATCACAACTAAATGTTTCAACTCATTATGATTATCGCAAGTAATAGGTGACTTCATGACATTATTTACGCTTTCAGAAAAATGGAAGAAAAAATTTGCTGAATATAAGGATGTATTTGAAAAACTGGCAAAACTGCGAGTAAATGAAAAATTGAGGCCAACTCGATTGGTCAACGATGATGTTCTAGGATTTTATGGAAATTTCAAAAAACTGGAAGTGGATTGAATTTATCTAGGTGGAACCACTAATTGATGATTCATTATATATGTATTTTTCAAACTAAAATATATTTCGACCTCTTGAGTATATCAAATTTTCTTTTCAATATCTATAGGTTTCACAAATTCTTATTTCATTATCTACTATATTAGTTACTGCCAAATATCAATCCTCAGAACCTGGCATTTCATTACAAGATACATTCCTGAAAAAGAGTACGACTAGTAAAGTTTTGATTATATTCTTCGAAATAACTGAATCAAGTTCAGTACTCAATATTCTCAAGAGAACTTTCATCAACTTTCAAACACAAACTCATTTCTTCAAAAAGTAACTTCATTAGGCCAAGATATATGTTCACTCAAGTTGGAGTGACCATCAGTGACGAAAAATATGTTCTACAAGAAAATATATTCAGATTATGAAAAATCCTAATAATAATAATGATAATAATATGTATTTATCAATTAAAGATTATACAAGGCATAATACATACATAAGTGTATGAAACTTATCAGACTAGTCAAAAAAAGGAAGTAATCTATACATACATAAAATAGAGAGTTTCACAATGTTACGGTATTAGAAAATATGAAATACTGTTTCAAGAAGAAAATTTCTCAAATTATTTTTGAATAGAATATCATACATAAAATTAAAGGTAAAATATGAGCATATGAGATGGTACAAACATACACTATATGTTACAAAGCGACTACGCCAGCTCCCTCACAAAATGTATAATTTGAGAGAAATCTTAAACATTAAAAATCTAATGACGCTATATAGGTTTTTAACAGATTCAGTTATTAGGTATTGTATCTCCTGGTGGGGTGACACATTTGACTGTAACATGTATAGTCTATAAGCCATGCGACATATTTTAATCACAATAATTCTTAGGAAAAAAACTCTACTGAACAGAACAGCCCTATAAAGAAACCAAGATGTATAACATAAGATTTATTTATATTCATCACTGTCTTATATGGATGTTCAATAATAAATATATTTACTATAGTGAAAAGATAAAAAAATACTAGTTCTGTCGAAAATTCAAATGTAATAATTCCCATTTTTAAAAAACTCATACACAACGAACAATTTTCTATTTTGGACCTAAATTTTACAATATACAAAACCGCAGTTTGAAAGAAAACATCTCCTTCAACAAGTACAAAACTGGTATAAAACAATTCATCAACCATAACTATCTAACACTAGTGAAGTTACTATGAAAAATATATATGGTTGATTAAAAGTCATTTGTGTATGTCTACAGGGCTTTTCATAATAAGCGTTAATTAGCCGTTTCTGACAAACTATTTAACGAATCAACCTGAAAATTTCACAGTATTCATAAATCAATATGACCTACACGCCTAAAATATTTCAGACGAAGCGGCAGATACTTTGATCTCATGAAAAAATGAGTGGAACTCAATTTTTTCAAATGGAACACCTTGTATATTTTAACATTTTTAAGCTCTACATCCAATTTCAGATTAACTTTGTTCAGATAATACTATTTCTATTTTGAACCGTTTTCGAGATAAACTATTTCAAACGGAAACTGACGTGGTTTTCTTGCTCGTTTTTTTGAATTCATCACTTATTTTGGATATTCAACATTTTTTTTAATACTTAGTAATATTTCTTTTTGATCCAGTATTTTAACTGTCTCAGATCAGTCAATTCGAAATTGGTAATTAACGCTCATCATGAAAAGTCCTGTATAAGTTTATATGAACGAACCCCATAGTTGCTGTGAATAAAATGATGGATCCTCGCCACATCGACCGCTCCGAAGACTGAAATGTAAGATTAGAGAAAAACCAATTGATAAAACAAGAAAGCGGAAGTTTAGGTCGTTAGAAGAAAAACAGATTGTTTGTAGAGTGTACGAACATTTAAAAAATACACGTATAGTGGAAGCTGTAGCCCAGTGTTCAATTTCAAGGGGAATATCCGTGTCGACAATTGAACGCATTGTACGTGAAAAAAAGGTGACTGGGATTGTGCAAGCTCCAAAAGTGTCGTGGTAGAAAAAAAAACTGAATTGGACCAGTACTAGAAAAATTTTGTACGCTATACCATTCATTCTTCCTTTTTTGCGAATAAAGTGCCAATCCTCGAATCCATTAAGACAAAGGCAATAGATAATGATCTCATTCCAAAAATGAGCAAAGAGGAGTTAATGAAAATAATAAAAGAATATTTAAAATTTATATATGCCAGACGATCTGGTAAATATTTCTCAATAGAAAGAGAAGATATAGTCTCATGGCGACAGAGATATCTTCGCTCTATTAGAGAGAAAATAATAAAAGAAGATTTAAAATTTATAAATGCCAAACGATTCAGTAAATCTGTCTCAATAGAGAAGATATAGTCTCATGGCGACGGAGATATCTTCACTCTATTAGAGAAATGTGTTCAACTCACAAAAAGATTTATTATCTGGATGAAACATGGGTGAATGTTGGTCACACAGTATCTAAGATCTGGCAAGATACTACTGTAACTAGTTATCGTCAATCATTTGTGAACGGTTTATCAATAGGGTTACGCGGACCAGTGGGTAAGGGCAACGACTAATTGTCGCCCATATAGGTGGAGATAGTGGCTTTTTAGACGATAGTGCATTAATTTTTTTATCCGAAAGGAAGGGGGATTATCACGAAGACATGGACGCCCAACGCTTTGAAGAATGATATGAATCCCTATGACCACCAGAAAAGCAGACATACAGAGTTGGTTAGGACAAAAATTAATTCCATTTTCCGAGGACATGGTTGAGGCCGAGCTTATGAGTGTCATTAAACAGCATCGTGACAGATATCGCCAGCATGTGGTGAATACAATAGCTCGTGCTGAAGGCATCACCATTTTGAGACTTTCTCCTCACCATTGCGAGTTAAACCCGATAGAATTAATCTGGGCTCAAATTGAGGGTTACGTAGCTCATGAAAACGTGACATATAAAATTTTTGATGCTCAACGTTTATTAGAACTCGCAATGGAACGGATACGGAAAGAAGATTGGGCTAATGCTGTGATCGAGGAAAAAGAGAAAATGTGGAGATTGGACGGGATGGTGGACACTGTTTTCGACCAAATAATAATAGATTTAAGTGTGACTGGGGATTCCTCTTCGTACGAGTCAATGGATTCTGAAATTTCATAAGCATAATATAGGTAACTATTTCTCTGCTTTGTAGATCTCTTTCTATATGAAAAGAACATAATTATTTTGTGAATTTTTCTGTTTTTTTGAAGTAATGTATTAGGCATAATAAGAAAATGTAATCAATTTCACCAGTGACACCAGGCAGCGCCACCTATTATAATAATTTTTACCTAATTACCTATGTGTTTAAATGAATAAAAATATCATTTTGAAACGCCTCTGCAGAGTTGGTAAGAGGATTATCGTTGGTCACTTCAAGTGCGATGTTGCTTATGAATCACCTTCAATTGAAAATTGTTATAGTATAGGTATATTTTATTGATATGGATGCATTTTGATTTTTATACTAATAATATTTTTTATCGTTATTATCATTTCAATCCAGTTCAGCTCCAAAGCAAAAGATAAAGAATAAAAATGGTCAATCTGAAAAAATATTTCATTTGTGTATAGAATAACGTCTAACTCCAATAATAGCTGTAAAACCATTAGTGGGTATGGAATGATTGATAAAACGGTATTTTACTCCCATTTGTGAATATATCGGGAGTGTTTTTGGTCTTCTGGAAAATTACTATTTCTTCAGTTAGAAGGTTTACAAATCAAGCCATCGATAAATATGGTTGCTGGTAAATGTGTCTTTTTTATGGGACTATTCTAGTTGATTTCCTGAAACTTGACTATCAAATGGTTGCTAATATATGATTGAAAAATTACCAAATTTAACAAAACAAATTTTTCTTTAACTTTGAGTTGAAGTGCAAGTATTCATTATTCACGAATGAGTTCAATCAATAATTCATAGTTATATTTTTCAAATAAAACTTGAAAATTTATCCTTTTCCATTCGGTAATCATTAATACTTACATAATCAGAGAATATGAAAATAAAATATTACACACCATGTTGAGTTAAAAATTAAATCGTGTTTTCGAAAAATATATAATGATAGCTTCCACTAAAAATTCGTGATAAATGTAATATAATGTATGGAAAAATAATTGGTAATCAGGATTCGGTTGAAATATTTCAAAGCAATGGAACGAGAATACATAATTCAGACTATTCAGCATGAATTACTGAAGTTTGATAAAATTCTGACAAGGTTATCACTGGTAAATATTTTCTAGCGGGTCCTACCTACATGTTCTCAAATCATTCACGTTCGGAGTGTTGGCTGAAGTGATTGGTGAGTGTCAGAATAACTGAATCAATCATCTCATGAATCAACCCACTACTGCAAATTTGATAAATTAAGTTTTTTATGAAAAAAAAAGTTGTGAACGGCTCCAATTCACTGAATTATCTCTATAATCAATATATGTAAGCTCGTTCATTTTGGATGATTACTTTGAATTGAAACATTTCGGGATGTCTGGAATACGATAGCTCAGGTTGAGATGTTATATCGTGTATTATGAAATTAACATGTTCCCTCAGCTGGGAATACATATAGGGTGTTTCCTAACTACGGTATAAAACTTCAGAAGGTTTTAAGAAAATACGTTTTTATATTGGTGTCGTTCCGTTTCTGAGATACAGTTAAAGTAAAAAAGAAAAGGTATTTGAAAATGTCATGAATATCCTTACACCAAATTGGGCGAAATTTGCTACAGTTATTTGTAGTAATGAGTTTATTCAAAATTGGTTACATTGAAAAAAAAAAGTACCTACGCCACTGTTGTTGCAGCTTTTCATTTTTTTTTTGATTACTCAATAAAAAATACAACTTTTTCGTCACCTGTGATTGATTCATATCTAACTTCGTTTTCGCGGAAAAAATTGAAGCCACTTTGCGTATCATGAACACCTGCTTTAGAGACCAGCTGACAGTGATAGTTTGAAGATGACTGACAATGTTTCATGATGAATTTCACTAGTTTGGACTTCCATCTAATAGTTCTCATAATACAACCATTACAAGGAAAAAATCGTCTTTTGTGAAGAATTCAAGGCATTTTGTCGAACTACTAGGGTCAATTGAAGT